CATGATTTGACAATGCAATATCAAGAATTAAAAGGCAAAGAAAAAAACTTTGTAAATCACAGAAATAAACCATTCATGTTATTCTGTAGATAGGCAGCAGAGTTGACTCATTATTGAAATTGTGTTTCAATGCCAATTTGGAAAACTTACAGCTAAAGCCTTTTGTGGCATCTTCCCTGACCTGCTTCCTAGACCAAGGAGGTATACTTCCCTGGGGGTACCCCTCCAGGACCCTGTCTCCTGCAAGCCAGGGTAACTCAGTGAGGAACATGCAGTATTACGTAGAGGAAGATGTATTTGTTTTGTCAATGTTTCACTTTGAAGCTGGTCTGGAAGAGAACATTTTCCTTTATCCAGTAAGATCTCAAATACCAAAACCTCTACCAGTCTCTCAAGAGAGAAACCAGATAAAAACTCTCATCACGAGAAAGAAGAGGAGGAATGGGGCTGGGGAAGAGGAGGGCAAAATGCCTAGGAGACCACAGAGGGAGTGGGGGAGACCAGATTGAGGAACCCCTTCATCCGCATCCTGACTCCAGGGGAAAAGTAAAGAACCTTTTCGGCACCACCTCTGCCCTCTGCATGCAGGCTTGAGCGTCAAAGTTTTATTTCTGGTGGTGAACTGTTCCTTCCTGCCCTTCCAAGTTTTTTAAGGGCATAGCTCAGGGGTTGCGTCTGCAATGTGCATGGCATGATTCTACAATAACGTGCTCTTCTTTGCACAGAAGGTAGTGTGCTACTTATTCATCTTCGTGGTGCATGTTGTTTTCTATTCGCAGGGATGGTTTTACACTGATCCTGTTACTTCGTTTCCTTGGATTCCATGGTGACCAGCTGGTCCCCTGTGCAGGCAGCTGCTTGAGATTGTGGAAGAGCTAATTGGCCAGCAGTGCGCATGAGCCTGTGACCTCCACCTCATGGATTGAGTGCTCAATCATCAACTGAGTGTGGGCTTCAGTCACTCAGAGCTGGACAGTCAGGGCTCCAGCAACAATTAATTGTGAAAAGTCATGCAGCTTAAAAAAGTCATGTCTTCATTTAACCTCAATTTGTTATCCATAAAACGGGAATGGCAATTGATCTCTCAAGTGTTTTGGGGGAGGGTTAAATGACCTAAAATATTTAAAACATGTACCTCAATAAGTAAACACTCATTGGCATCCCCTCGTAAAAATCAAATACCTTGGTGTCTTTCCTTTGGAAATAATTCTTATGTGTGTCTACCTAAGAAGTAGCTGGCTACACTGAGCAGTAAGCAGTGGCCAATAGAGAAGCCTTCTTCACATCAGTGTATGAACATAGGTGTGTGGGTGTTTATGGAAAGCTTTACACAAAATTTAAAGCCATCTGGGGTGCAATCAAATATCTCCGACTGCACCTCAGAGAATCCTGAGAATGTCTGTGTTTGGTACAATTTTTTGTCTGACTCCTAGTTTGAGTCAGAGTTTAAACCTATCTCTTCATTTCTAGTCTAGTCATCTATTATACCTCTGATAAACTGTTCTTCCTTTTGAATTTGTCTATTAGACTGTGCCACTGTCAGAGACCTGAAATATAATCATGCCCTTTTACCAGTTGGTGGATATCTGGTCTTCATTCATTTTGTTTGTTTGTTTTGTTTTGTTAATCCTGACTTGAGAATATCTTTCCATTGGTTTTTAGAGATTTGAAGGGAAGGAGAAGGAAGATGCTAAGAGGGGGAGACAGAGATAGGAGGAGGAGAAGAAAGGGGAGGAGGAGGAGGAGAGAGGTGAGAAAGACACATGGATTGCTTACCTCCTGCACCCACCTGACAGGGACTGGGGATCAAACCTGCACCCAGATGCATGCCATGGAATCAAATCCTCAACCCTTCAGTGCATGGTCTGATTCTCTAACCACTGAGACACCAACCAGGGCTGACCTTCATTCTTAATTTCTTTAATCATATTAAAGTTTCCATACTATAATTCCATCTCACAAGACTTTCAGAGAACACCAAAAAAACTTTCTCTGCACAGATTAAAAATAATGACACAGTCATTTCCTTCATTGCTCTTTGAATTCCCATATAAAGTTATCTACCAAATATACCTTGCCTGTCCTACCAAGTGTGCCTGCTTAACATGGGTTGATGCCTGTGACATTAGTCACCATTAATTGCTCAAGAGTTGAGATCAGGTAGGCAATCACTGAGTTCATCTGTAAAAAAATGAAATGACTACAGTCGTATTAAGGAATAAAAGGCCCCATGGCTACCAAATGACTGCAAACTATTTCAAGAGAACTGAGAGTATATCCTTGTAACATATACTGTCCCAAATGCTGCAAACTCCAGAGAGCAGGCAGTTTGAATAATCCTTTTACTTTACCCTTCACTGGGTCATTGTTTTTCCACTTAGGAGTCTCTCCTTTTAAGAACATAGTTTAATAGAGTCTGTCCTACTCCAAATTCTGTGCTTCTTTGATTTTTAAATAGAATTTGTGGTTTGAATTAAACCCTACTTTCTGAAAATTGACTTTATTTGAAAAAGATTTCCCTACAATTTTTTTTTTTTTTCTTACACTGGCATTCATTGAGACAGAAAAGAGGAGAGGAGCCACACAGGTATTTTGGAGGTAAGTAACTCTTTCAGAACAATTTCTCTCTTTGTCTCTTGGGGAGCTTTGGCTAGGGCTGTGGTCTGGAAGAAGTTAGACTCTGGAAGTAGGTTTCCAGAACTTGGGCATTAAGCAAATATGCACTGTATCCAAGGCATCTGACCATCCAATGTTGTACTTTGCCAAATGCAAGGAGGGAAACTACTGAAATCTGTTCGAGTTGTCATGACAGACAGGGCCACATGGAAAGTGCTGGAAAAATTCCTCCTTAGACTATAATTGCCTTGATGGACAGAAACACTGCCTTCCATCAGCTGTGGTATGCGATGGCCCAGTGTTTTGAGGCAGTGCTCAGGGTTTATTGTTTAAGGTCTCAAAGCAAAATTAAAATGGGACATTAAAAATACCTGAAGGAGCTAATTATATTTTATTTCATTTTATTTATAGTGTCAGGTTCCTTCATCCCTGAGCACATAATGTGTATTCAGTTTGATGGGGTGTGTGTGTGTGTGTGTGTGTGTGTATGTATATATATGTATATATATATATATATATATATATATATATATATATATATCACAACCAAGATATGGTCATGTAGATGAAGTTGCCCAGTGGATGCATTGTTCCCTTCTAATTGAGCATAAGGGTGCCTTAGAGAGTAGTTGAGAGTTGAGCATGGACGTCAGCAAGACCCTATAGCATAACTGTTAAGGTTTAACCTCTGGAGCGAGGCTGCCTGGGTTTGAATTCTGCTCCATACATCTCTGTGCCTCACCTTTCCTGCCTATAAACTCACTACAGCAATTAGACCTAACTCGTCCGGTTGTTTTGAGAATGAAATACATTAATATGCACATTTTAAAGTGCTTCAACTAGTACCTTGCATAAAGTAGGTGCTATGTCTTAGTTACAGTGATTATTTTTACATTTTCATTATCATTGAGAATCCAGGAGTTCATGTCACTAAACGTGGTTCTCTTTAACGAAAAAGCTGATCACCAATTTGGCAAATTCTCTCTCTCTATTCTTTCATTTCTCTCTCTCTCTCCCTCTCTCTGTTTCTTTCTCTTGCTTTTTCTCTTTTACTGCCTTCACCTGGCACTCTGGCTTCGTACCCACACTGCGATACTTGATATGTCGAGTCTTTTCCTCTGTAGTGTTTTTAATGGCAACGAAGTGGGCAGACCCAAGTCGTCGTGCGGGTGGTGGCAGGGCTGTGCTGTCCACCTCTTGAGTACGGAAAGGTAAACGCTTCGGTTGTTAGGGGCTCCCACTCCATACCCACCCCCACGCCTCACAGAGGAAGGAACATTTCTCTGTGCGGGGGTGGCTTTCATGCTGGAAGGGAATGGCTGATGGAGTTATTTTTGTTCCTCACAAATGTGGATGTTTAAAATAGTGCTTTATTCAATCGGCATAAGTGACACACGGACTATGTATAGTGGTGGAACTGGGCCTGCCAGGTGATGAGGGCCAGATCTCACCAAAACTAAGAGTGGTGGTTCTCCACTGATAACACCCAAGGGTTCTTTCCTGAAAATGGCCAGCAAAGAGCCCCCATCGTGGGCTGCCTGGCAAATGCACTGGCACAGCCATTGAACTGTTGGAAATGGATGTACCTCGGAGCCAGTGAACTGGGACTTTGGCTTCGTGTCCAGGGGGCATGCCAGCGGGTCACATTTCCTCTCTGAACCCCCCTCCAGGCAGCACTGTACTCCTGAAGGGTAAGTGTGTCCGTTGTTCTTTCGAGCCTCTTGACTCAGTGCCCTGCAGGCCTGGCATTCAGCCAGCGAAACCGAATCGGGAGGCTGCGGCTCAGGCCATGGTTAATTGGAGGTTTATTGTCTTGTCACGGTTTCAGAAGTTTAGGGAACCTTTTTTTTTTTTCTTTTTTTTTTTTTTTTGGAGATTGATTGGATATTGTTGGGAGTTGAAGTAGTGTCAATTTTGACCTTATGCGCTCCTTTTTAGTGACTAAACTGAAAGTTTATTTAAAACATTATGTTTTAATTCTTTGAAAACTGCCCTGTTGTATTGCAAGTCAGCACAGTGAGGATTCTAGAAGGGACTCCTCCTATGTTGAAACAAACAGACTAGGTTTCATGGAGTGGGCAAAGGGGATGGAATGTTTTATTCCCATGAAAGTTTTTCTTATCAGAATTCATTTGATCTGAGGCGAACGAGAAGAAAATGCTTAGCTTCTGAGGCAAACGTGAAACTTGCCCTATGTCCAAGGGAGATTTCTAAATCCTTATAGATTCTCCTTAAATGGATATGAGATGCAATGCAGAGCTTGGATTTTATTTAAGGGGTGGGGGTGGTGGGGGTGGGTGGGAATCCATTGAATCAGAGGAGAGTGAAAGTGGCTGTGAGTGAGAGTGAGGTCACCCATCTCAGACACCGTTATGACAGACACACTGGGCATTTGGTTGAGAATCCACATGCCTCCTCCTCCCCCAACTTTCTCTTTCCATCTTAGAGCCTCCTCTGTACACTCAAGTGTGTTTCACTATGACCAGGGAATAGACACTAAAAATATGTCCGGAGTGACGTGACCCACTCTCTCCCCATCCAGGAAAAGGACGAGGCTTCACGAGAAACAGCACATACTTTCCTTCCCTCTCTGGGAGCCTGGGGGTCGACCTACAGATGCTTCCCCTTCCATGGCCGATGGCTGCCGACGGTGCCCAGCGAACCACTGGACAGGACGGCTCAGCTACAGGAGGGTGGCCACAGTCTCGGCCAGAGCAGCAGCCCCCCAGCCTCAGACCACCTCTGCTCCCCCACCCAGGAGCCTTCCCACCTCCCTCAGCCTCGCCTGGGCCCCGCCACAGGGGCTGAAGCACTGGGCGGTGGTGGCCTCAGGGGCAGTGGTGTCTACAGCCTTGGGGCCGGTCCAGGCCCGCAGGACCCTGCTCCGGGCAACTCTGCGGCCCCTCCGGGGCCAGGGAGGGACCCAGGACCCCCCCAGCGCTCACCACTGTCTCTTCCTGACCCTGCTCCCTGAGCAAGGGCTCAGAATGGAAGCGGCTACTCCTGAGCCGAATCTGCAGGCCAGACTGAGGGAGGTGGGGGATGACGGGGTGAGCGGAGCTCAAGATAGCCAGGAGCTAAAGCAGCAGCTGCAGCCGCTGCGGGAGCCGCCAGCCTCCTCCCAGCAAGAAGCGAACTATGTGGAGATGTGCTCTGCTGCTGCCGGAGTCCAGAGGGAGAGGCCCCGGGCCATGGAACAGACCCCGGAGTGCGCCCCTGGGGATCCAAGAGCCTCTGGGAGTCCCGAGGAGAAAGCCCAAGACGAGCCCAGCAATCCAGAGGGCCAGGCTCCAGCCCCCCAGAGGAAGCCTGCTTGGTTGGAGCTCAGCAGATCCCAGCTCTCCGGCTCTGAAGAGGGCAACCACCTCACCTCCTCCTCCTCTTCCTCCTCCTCCTCCTCCCCTGCCTCCTCCTCCCCGGTGGACAAAGCAGAAGGCGGCCTTTTCCAGGATGAAGCCAGCACCTCCACAGGGGCGCTGGCCACCTCGTCCTCCTCTTTAGGCTTTGAGAGTGACAGCGGTGAGAGTGCAGGGAGCTGCCAGCCCCGGGGAGGAGTGGGAGAGGGAGAGGCAGGAGGAGGTGGAGGAGGAGTTGAAGGTGGAGGTGGAGGTGCAGGAGGACGACGAGGAGCAGCGAGGGGAGACGTTGGACCAGAGTGCAGGGACCTCATCGCCAAGTCCCAGGGGAGCAGGGGCCCCCCAGCCCCCGGGGAGGCCCACTACATCACCACCCACGAGATCCAGCTGAGCGAGGTGGAGCAGGACATGGACTTCGACGTGGGGCTAGCCTCCCGCTGGGACTTCGAGGACAACAACGTCATCTACTCCTTCGTGGATTACGCTTCCTTCGGCGGCAGCGACGAGACCCCGGGGGACATCAGCACCCCAACCGAGGAGGAGGAGGAGGAGAAGGAGGAGAAGGAGGAGGAGGAGGAGGAGGAGGAGGAGGAGGAGGAGGAGGAGGACAACAGCTGCTACCTCAGCACCACTCCCAGCACCCACGCCACCCGGACGCCCAGCCCCTGCAGCAGTGACCCTCCCGGGCCCGGCGGCAGCGCGGGCAGCAGCAGCAGCGGCCGGGACACCAGCAGCACGGAAGTGGGCAGCGGCCCTTCTGACGGCGGCCCCACGCCCCCACCCCCCGGGCCTGGCACTGGCACTGCCCCCAGGCCCGAGCCCTCGCCCGAGCCCCCGGAGGAGGAGGCAGTGTCAGGGGCAGCCACCGCCACCGCCTCAGCAAGCAGCTGTGGGAGTGCAGCAAGCCAGATCCTCCTATCAATCAAACCGACTTCCCGGGCTATAAATGAGCCTAGCAACGTGCGTGCAAAGCAAAACAGGATTTATGCAGCCAAGCATGAAGGCGACATGAGCCTCCGCGTCTCCGCAGCTGCCCAACAGCGTTCCAGCCCCCTGAAGCAAGACCCGGCCGCAGCCGCCGCGGCTCAGGACCATGCAAAGAAGTTCATCGCCGTCCCGGCCCGCCTGCAGACCCGCTGCGGGGCGGTGCGGGCCAAGGAGCTGGTGGACTACTCCAGCGGGGCCTCCAGCGCCGTGAGCGAGCTGGACGATGCGGACAAGGAGGTGGGTAACCTGACCTCGCGCGCCTTCCGGAGCCTGGCGTACCCCTACTTCGAGGCTCTCAACATCAGCTCCCGGGAGTCCTCCACGCTCTCGGAGGTCGGCTTCGGGCGCTGGTCCACCTTCCTGGACCTGAAATGCGGGGGCGTGGGGGCGCGGGTGGAGCAGAGCCTGCTGCGGAGCAGCGCGGCCTCGGTGGCCGCAGGGCTGCGGAAGAGCGGCAGTGCGGCCAGGCCAGCTGCAGACCAGCTCTACATCCACTCCAGGAAGTCGCAGACCAAGGCCCTGGAGTTCGTGGTCAGCAAGGTCGAGGGGGAGATCAAGCACGTGGAGACGCCTCTGTGCTTCCAGAAGCAGGTCCAGACGGGCGGGTCCTGCGTGGTCACCCTCCTGGAGCCCCTGAATGTGCGCAGCGAGAGCAAAGCCAGTTCTACCGCTGCTGCCTCCGGGCCCTGCAGGGCCACCAAAGGCTCCTCGGGCAAGGGCCCCGGCTCGGTGTACACCGATGATGATGGCTCGGAGACCCCCGAGGGCGGCAAGCCTGCCCCCCGCGCCGCCGAGGGCCCCCAGAAGAAGTCCACGTTTGCCTCCAGTCTGCTCAAGAACGTCATCTCCAAGAAGATGCAGCGGGAGCACGAGTTCAAGATGGAGAGGGGCGAGGTCACGGACACATCCCACCGGAACCTCGGCAGCGCGTGCAAGGAGCTGGAGGGCTCCCTCGAGCGGCCGCGGGACCGAGGCCTGCAGCGGCAGAGCTCCCGCCACTCGGAGGCCAGCTCCGAGCACACGGTGCTCAGCGTGTCCGATGCGGGCGGGGAGGGGTCCGTGGCGGGGTCCAAGTCCCCAATCTTCAAAGCCAGTGCCCCCCGGGAGAGCCACGCAGGCTCTGGACCCCCGGAGGAGGTGTGTGAGATTAAGAAGAGCGCCTCCGAGACGGTCAAGGGCATCTTCCTCCGCAGCCAGAACAGCGCATTCCGGTCCTGGAAGGAGAAGGAAGCCGAGAAGAAGCGGGAAGACAAGGCCCCAGCCGTGGGGAAGCTGAAACTCCCCAAGGGGGGCGACTGGAGGGCCGACCTCGGGGAGGTCTCGGCCGGCAAGCCCACCATCATGTCCCGCCTCTTTGTCCCCAACATCCAGCAGACCCCCAAAGAGAAGCAGCCGGGCAAGCGGGCCACCAAGTACCCAGCTGCCCAGGCCGCCACTGCCGCCTCCTCCACGGCAGGGACCGGGCCCAAGGCCCCGGAGATCAAGATCCGCCTGGGCAGCGTGCAGCAGCCAGACTCGGACTTCAGCATCGCCAAGCTGCTCACGCCCAAGCTGGCCGGCAGCAGCTCCTCCTCCGGCCTCCCCAAGGCAGGGGAGGACAGCAGCAGCAGGGGCCCACAGAAACCCTTCCGGGGAGACGGCCTGGAGAAGGTGCCCCAGTTCCAGGTGAGGGACGTCAGGGACAAGTCCAAGGCCCAGGGCCCCCTCCACCAGGTGAGGGACGTCAGGAAGCTCATCAAAGGGTCGGGGGACAGCAGTGACAAGGGCAGCGTGACCCCGGAGCAGGGGCTGAGCGGGGCCAAGCCCAGGCAGCTGGCTGCTCCTGCTGCCCCTGGCGGGTCCAGATCCCTGTCCCCCTTGGTGATTACGTGCCAGGCCGTGGTGAACCAGAGGGAGGACGGCATGGACCGGGAGCCCAGGGAGGGCCTGGGCAGAGGCGGGGGCAGCAGCGGGGGCTTGAACCCCTCCTCGCCAGAAGGGACGGTCTTGGTGCACAGGGCGTCTGGGAGGCTGCCCGTGGCCACCATCGCCCCCAACAAGCCGGAGCAGGGCTCCTACCTGCCGGTGCTCAAGATCATCTCCAAGGCTTCCTCTGCTCAGAAGACCCCAGAGAAGGCCAAGGAGGAGGAGGCCAGGGAGGAAGGCAAAGGCACCAAGCCGTCGAGGAACGCCCTGGAGAAGCTGACGGCCGCCGTGAGGTCCATGGAGGAGCTGTACAGCTTCAACAGGAACGAGTGGAAGCGCAAGAGCGACCCCTTGCCCACGATGGCCGACAGCCACGTCCTGTCGCTCATCGCCAGTGAGGAGAGGGAAGGGGCCGGTGGCGGGGCCGAGGGGGACCCCGACAAGCTGGCCAGACGCCTGGGCCTTGGTGAGGTGGGAGAGCAGGGCGCGGGCCACAGAGACGGAGTGGTCCTGCGAGCAGCCCCCTTGGAGCGTCTGCAGAGGAGGAATTCCAATGAGAGCGTGTCTGCCCGGGCTGCGGCCTTTGAGAACCTGGCCAGGGAGCGGCCCCGATCCCTCTACATCCCCCCAGTGCACAAAGAGGGGGAGAGGACCCAGCCCCTGCAACCCCTCCCGCCGCTCCCCAGCAGCAGGAACGTGTTCACCGTGAGTGCCAGCAGCATCCAGAAAACGGGGGGTGTCGCTGGCAAGTTCCCCCAGGGGCTTTCTCCAGAGAGTCCTTCGGCAGCAAAGGGCAGCAAGGCTCAGGGGCTCCGGTCCCTCAAGATCTCTCCGGCCACCCGGGCACCGCTGGATGAGGTGGCCGCCAGGAAAAGTGGCAGCACCTTGGAAAAGAGCCATAGTGACTGTGAAAATTACCTGACCATCCCCCTGAAAGGGAGCTCGGCAGCGGGGCCCGGGGCCAGGAGGGAGGGGCCCCCAGCCTCCTCTGCAGCCACTCTGTGCAGCTTGCCCCCTCTGAGTGCTCGAAGCCAGGCCCCCAGCTGCCCCAAAGGTTCCCAGGTCAGTGGAACCAGCCGGCCAGCTTGGCCTACCAAACCTGACAACCCACGGCAGTCGGTAGCGGCCCCCTCGGGGCCCCAGAGCCCCGGGCATCCCCCCACCGCTATCTACCATCAGCAGCCACTGCCCTTCCCCCTGCAGGGGGCCCAGCCCCAGGTGCTTTGCTTCTCCCCACCTGGCATGCCTGCCCCGGCACCTACAGGCCCAGCTCCGGTCCCCACAGACGCCTTCCAGCAGCCACAGCCTCAGCAGACCCAGCGAAAGATGCTGCTGGATGTGACAACTGGCCAGTACTACCTGGTGGACACACCAGTACAGCCCTTGACCCGGAGACTCTTTGACCCCGAGACGGGGCAGTATGTGGATGTGCCCATGACCTCCCAGCAGCAAGCAGTGGCTCCCATGTCCCTCCCGGTGCCTCCCTTGGCCCTGAGTCCCGGGGCCTATGGACCCACCTACATGATCTACCCCGGGTTTCTGCCCACTGTGTTGCCTACCAGTGCCTTGCAGCCCACACCAGTGGCTCACACTCCAGGGGGAAGCGAGCTCTCCCAGATGGCCGCAGAGAGCCCCAGCAAAGAGCCAGCTGCCAAGTTCACCGAGGCCCCGTACTTCATGGCCTCTGGTCAGTCTCCCACCTCCTCTTCTTCCTCGGCCCCAGCAGCCACATCCCAGCTGGTGGGGGCCAAGGGCTTCGCCCAACTGCACGGCAAACCTGTCATCAGCATCACTTCCCAGCCCCTGGGGCCGAGGATCATCGCGCCCCCCTCCTTCGACGGCACCACCATGAGCTTTGTGGTGGAGCACAGATGACAGGCAGTCACCAGGAAGCAGGATGGAGCCGCTGCTGGTGAGTGAGTGGACTTTGATACTCAGCTTTAAGGGATCCAGATCAGTCCTGTTTCTCTGGAATGGCAGGTTTACAGCAGAGGAGGCTGTCTAGAAATGGGCATTTTGGAAAAATAGAACAAAACCCCACCCAAATGATTAAGGATAAATATATATATATATATATATATATATATATATATATATATATATATAATTGTTATTATTATTTTTGCCATGCCTCCTCTCCACACTCCTCAGTCCCTGAGGCCTTTCCCCTTTGACCTTTCAAATGGCCCATATGCTTTTCTCACCATGAGTCGGAGAAACGTGAACCTTGGATCTGTCAGGGTAGCCTTTGGTGAAGGTTGACAGGAAAGAGAAACAAAAGCCCGTTCAGATTTCACGGAGTGAGCCTCTGTTCCTGGAGACCCCATGGCAGAAGGCAGAACACCCTGAGAGATCACTGGGAACACTGTTAATGGGCTTGCTCCTCATTTTCCCATTAGGGGGTTCTCTAAAATCTGCAGAAAAGCTTCTCTCCTTCCTCTCCATCTTCCTGAGGTTTCTTTTACAAAGATACTGCATTTTTTTTAAGCTCTTGTTTTTCTGTTTACAGACAGTCAGAATGCTTTTTCTTAGGTGAATCCAAGGTCTTTAAATTTACACACACACACACACACACACATGCACGTACGCACACACGCACGCACGCACATGCACACTTGACCTCTGTGAATGGGGGTGGGGGGGCTGCTATGTTTGATCCAGTCGCTCAGACTGAATCCACTACTCTCAGCTGCCAGTCCCTATAAGGCGCTCACTTTCATATCTGCATTCGCTCCCTTCAGAAAAGAAGCAACTTCCACTGGCCCCCCTGAAAGGAAATAAGATAGATTCCTAACACCTCCGTTAATCCAAATTCATAGACAGGAATCCTTGCTGTAAACAGTCCAAGAAACTTGATAGGAAAAGTGAGCCTGAATCAGGATACTTCAGGTCACACACGTAAGAAAGACAGTGGCAAGCTGCAGATCGGAGCACAGAGATGTCAGCACCGTGGGGTCAAATCGCCCCTCGTTCTCCTGCTCTCTTCACACTGGGAAGGGTTGGCATTATCAGTGTTTCTTGGGTCTTGTTCACTCCTTGGTAAGGTTATACCAACAAAGAAAGGAGATGGAGAGGAGAGAAACCCTTCCATGCATGTGTATGAAAGAAGTAAGCCATTTCTCTGTTCTGAGCTGAAAAAGAACAGAGAAGCATTGCTTCACTGAGCCTTAACTTAGGAAGTGGGATCATTCGATTAGAGTCACAGCTTCCTCCCACCAGATGTGTGTTCTTGGGCTGAAAACTCTCGCACTCATGATGTGTCAGTTATATCTGCTCCTCAAAATGTATTGCTGTGGATGGTGGAGGTGAAGGAGGGCATGGAGGGGATAAATGGTGCTGGAAAAGATAACAAAATAAAATAAATGTCTCTGAATGTCCAATGATATAACAGCATATTGCAAGTTAAAAAACCCTCTTCAGATTAAGGGTTCATTACATTTATTGAACTACAAGACTAGAAGAATGCAAGTGAAAACGCGAGCCTCATTTTACTCACAGTCTAGAAATAGATGATTCAAATATTTCTCTTTAAGAGTTTGCCACACACACACACACACACACAAAACAAAACAAAAAAAACCACACAAACTTTGATGACCCAGTTGCTTTGATGATCTTACTGTTTTTGTGATCACAAATAAAGAGGGAGAGGGAGATGAAAGAGAAATAATGCATCTTTTGTCTGATGTGGGAAATAAAGGAAAGTTCAGCATGCATATGGAGGAGAGTCAGAATCAGAGAATTCATTTTGCAGGAGGAAAAGAGTAGTCTCTAGATAAAGCGTTTTAATCTTTTGGACAGGTGGTGCCTTTACCTACGGCTATTTCGGAGCAGCTAATCCTGCAAGGCCTTTGTGTGAGCTGAGGAGGCACAGAGACAAGGGGAAGAGAGGACAGGGCAGGCAGGGGAGGGGCAGGCACACGCGCCTGCAGTCCCTTTGGCAGCTGCCTTTGGCCTTGCTCCTGTCTGCTGAGTCTGGAGGGGGTAGGCTTGGAGTTGTTTCCCTCAAACACAAAGATAAATCAGAGTTTTTAGCATTTAATATTTGAACAGTGATTATTTTGAAAGTTTATTTTTTTTGAAACACAACATTTATATTAGTCCACCACCCTGAAGATAGACAGAAATCAAAAGCTGGCTTCACGATTTAAGACGACTGGTGAGGAACTGATTAGCTTTTTGTGCACAAGCAAAAATCTAATTATTAAAACTCAGATAACCGCCTGGCTGACATGGCTCAGTGATTGAGTGTCAAACTATGAACCAAGAGGCCATGGTTCGATTTCAGGTCAGGGCACATGCCCAGGTTGTGGGCTCAATCCCCAGTCGGGGACATGTTGGAGGCAGCCAATCAATGATTCACTCTCATCATTGATGTTTCTCTCTCTTCCTTCCTCTCTAAAATCAATAAAAATATATTTATAAACAGATAAACAAAAAACTCAGATAACTAACAAAAAATCCTTCAAAACTCATCTTCCTGAGCGTTCTTTGCCATGCCCCAAAGAAAAATCAGACGCATAAACAAGTGTGTAGCTCTTTTCCTTGTATGTTCAGCTGTCTCAAAAATTACATTGCACACACTCACTTATCACCTGATGCTCTTACGGATGGTCCCTGTGAGAGGTCTTGGAAGCAGGTCTCAGGTCTGGATTTCCTTTGAAAACCCGCCTGGTTCCAGAGATTTTTCTGGCGGCAGGCTCCAGCTCTACGTGGCTCTTTCAATGAAGTCAATTAAATGGTTTGATCCAATCACAACATTTCACAGAACAGAAAGCTGGGGCTTAGAAAGAAATGGTTTTGCTCAAGACCCCAGAGAGTGAGCGAGCCAGAGCCTGTGGCACACACTTAGCTCCTGGGCCTCACTGTGCTCCTGGTTATTCTGTGTGTTTGCTCCTTGGTAAGAGGCATGGAGCAAAGGATGGATGCAGAGGAGTGCTATGAGATCCGCACTGGCAGCCAGGACTCCTGGGCCCTACTCTCTGCCATTCTGGACATTTCTAAAATGAACGTTTGAATGAAATGTGCTAAAACCCTCATTCACTTAACAAACATGAATTGCATGTTTACACTCTACCAGAAGCAGTGTACTACGAGGTGACTCTAGGTCCCATGTGACCTGCTACAGTCCCCTCAGCAGGAGCCTATACTCCAGCAGGAGGCACGCACCAGACACACAGAACTGCAAAACCAGTTTCCAGTTCTGTCTTAACCTTTAAGATGCCTGCCAGCTCAAATAATAAGGATTTCATCTTCTATTTTTAGTGGTGCCTTGCAGCAGGGAGCTCTGCTTTCTCCCCTGTATATCCACCGAGTGGCCAGATTATTATGATCTCTAAACACATAATAATCTGGCCACTCAGTGTATTTGAGCATAACAAGCTGCTGCTAGTTCTTTCTAACTATTTTGGTATGAATTTCCCTTTAGTTTTGCTTTTATAGGTGGTTCTTTCCCATTACTGAAGATCATCAGTAATGTTTTTATTTTGTTATTATTTAGTAGGACATCGCAGATTGTGAGAAATGCACGGGGTTGTGTATATCCCGTAGCCCAGTGGCCAGATAGTCACAACAGGAACCCATTTGTAACCTACCAGCATGCTAGGCACCGCAGCTGCAAAACTTCACTACTTTCTCCTTTTTTTGTAAGGACTTTCCTGTTATAGACTCTTGTTTGTAGATTTGTGTTTTGAAAGTCCCGGCTCCACAGGATCTTGGATGCCTTTTTCAATGAGATTATTTTTGTTTTTAGTTTTCTCTCTTTAGATGCACATAGCTATATTTTTTCTTCTCTGACATATTCACTCACATGCTTTCTCCTGTCCATCCACTTGGATGCCACGTTTTTGTTTTAAAAATTGTATTGAGACTTGCTTGATACTAAATACCATTTACTATGACATAAAGATAAAATAAATATGTAATATAACAAAAGAAAACTTTAATTGGCACTATGCTTGCTTTGCCATGAATATTGCAATTATTTTGTTATATTTCAATGTCTTTTTTTTCCTGTAAGATTTTATCTATTTCTTCATCTTTTCATTTATTTTTATTACTGACACTATCACAGATATTCCCATTTCTCTTCTTCCCCCCTCCCCCCCAGCTTAACCCAGCCTTGGCCCCCCTTCCCTTTGGCCATCACCACACTATTGCCTGTGTCCATGGGCTGTGTATATAGTATGGGCTATATATGTCCTTTGGCTAATCCCTTCACCTTCTTTCATCCATTCCCCCCACCCTCCCTCCTCTGACATCTGGCAGACAGACTTTCTTCATTTCTGATTGTGCCCTGGGTGGCTACTACCTGTTGGTATTTCTTTTCTCCTTTTTTCCTCAGAGTTATTTCTACCCTCTGGGTAGAGCTCCACAGGTCAGTAACTGAAGTGGAAAGAGAAAGGGGGCTGGACTGAGGGGAGCTATTTTTATAGAGTGTTCTAAGGAGGTCCTATAGAGATCCTTAGATCATCAAACCCTGATCCTTGTGTTAGAAACTGCAGGAGGAAATTGGGCCTCAGAGAGGGTAAGTGGCCCTTCTCCAATCACAGTGTCCTTTGGGGGCAGAGTTTTGACCCCAATCCCAAATGACCCCATGCCAGAGTCCTTTTATTCACTTTGCTTCTTTCTCATCGCCCTTGAATCCCTTCTCTTTTTCTCCCCGAGGCCACTCTTGTGTTTGAGAATTTACTTTTTGTTCTTTGCTATTTTTTTTTTTTCAGGATTGGGGATCTTTTATTACTTATTGTGGGTTTCCCTTTCCCATTCACTTCAAGCTGATTTAGTTTAATGACTCACCTTGCTTCTTCCCTTCTTACAGTTTTGTTTCTAGTTTGTTTTAACCACAGCCTGGACAGCTTAAAGGGCCAGGGCTCCCTGCCAGCTCCCTCACCAGCTGGGTTTTTGCAGCCTTGTGCAGGAGGCCAGGTGGCTGCAAGCTCGACATTACATTTTCACTTCACTTCATAATTACATTCCCGAATCAATTGGTTTACTTCTATTTTTCTCTGACTTGGTTGTGACTTTCTCTTCCAATTATTATATATGGCTGTTGTTTTATTTAAGTATCTTCTTAATGTCTTTTCTGTCCTTTTCCCCCCTCCCCTTCTCTCCAAAGGATAGCATCTTTCCTCTTTCTTCCTTTTGCTTTTAATTTTGTGCCTCTCTCAACAATTTTGTTTTTATTATTTTCTTCTCTATCCTCTATAAAATTAATAAAAATGAAAAAATAGCAGCTAATGTTTATTCACCATATATTATGCAAAGATTTAACACCATGCTATCTGATTCTTAAAACAAGTAGGCACTATTTTCATCTCTATGTGACAAATGAAGAAATGACTTGTCCCAAAAGGACATATCATTTGTAGCCCAGGCCCTTCATGCTCATGGCCGTGCTCTTACAGGTGGCACTTGTCTGCCGGTCTCTTACTCTCTGCCCTCCCGCTCTGTTCTTCATTGTGAACTGTCCCTCTTTCATCATATGGGAAAAAGAGAAACGAATACGATCAGAAATTGACCTTGAATCTATTATTGCCTAGCACAGTGGTCGGCAAACTCATTAGTCAACACAGCAGCAAACATGTGGCTCACGAGCTGCATTTTGCCAACCACTGGTTTGGCATATATGAAACCTTCATGTGTATTATTCTTTTGACTAAAAAAAAAAAAAAAAAAAAAAAAAAAAATCAGCTGTCTTTAGTTATTAGGACATTGTATGCCCACAGAGGGGTCTGAGCCAGTGTCAGCATTTCTAAGGGCTGTGGCTCTCCTTGGTGGGGCAATTCTGTGTGTATGTGGGGAGGGAAGGGTGTGGGATGTCCCCTGGAGGCCAGCAGGTTCATGCATTTTCGTTGGAGGGGAGCTGTGTGGCTTGACTAAAGCCCAAGTGTGTGCACCTTTGAGGTCCGGCAGCTCTGAGCCAAATTCTAGTACTCTTACTGCTCTGGACATTTGCTCTCTCTGAGGTTCAGTTTTCTCAACTCTGTAAAGGGAATACCTCTCAGGAATGTTGTGATGATGGACTTTATAAGACAGTTACAAAGGACATATCCAATAGTTCACAATATGTAGTAAGAGTTCCATCTGCCTTGGAGACTATAACTTCACAATGCTTTAAAAGCTCCTCATCTCTCAGGGGCCCTCACCAGAGCAGAAAAATCAGGCCTCATTCTTGTAGACCCCCAGAGCAGCATGAGGAGACGGATCCGGGGCTGTTTTCTATTTCGCCAAACTGGAGGCAATGTCCATACCTCTGCAGTCGGAGCTGGCTGATCTCTTGGGACAGGTCAGTTGGCTGTGGGCCAAGGTATTCTAGTATCCCCGAAGCTTTCCAGCATGTTATACAACGCTGGGCTGACACTGTCAGCTGCATGGCGGTGATTTTCCTCTCCGTCTGGGCACAAGCCTGTGTGGAGCAAGGGAGACTCTGACCCTGCATCCCCTCTGAACTCTGTCATGTGCTCTGGCCCTACAGTCACAGGCCAAACTGTCTCGGTGACGCAGCAGAGTCACCCTCTCATCGTCACTGAATTCTTCCCAAGCCTCTAAATCATCAGTTAAACTGGCAATTTTATTATTTTATCCTTAATAAGAACTGGAGTGACTTTATTACTTTCAAGATTTTTAATAAAATTCCTCTTGAATGAGCAGAAACAATACGGCAGGTAGGTGAAAAAGCAGTGTCTGGTGATGGATCCCTGAAAATGTCTCGGTCGATTGTATAAACAGATTTTCCCTTCATTTCTCAACACTCTGAAGTCCCCCTCCCCTGCCCACTTTGATTTGCATACAGATGATTCTTTGTGGTCATCTATTTTCTTCTTTTCCTGGTGTAATTATATTTCCTTTTTCCTGTTGCTATTTTTTATGTCAACAGGTAGCAAAACTTGAATTTAGCAAATGAAAAGTCTCCAAACTCGCAAAGGTCCCTTTCATCTTGAAGGTCATTCCTTAATGTAAAATACAAACAAATAAAAATTTAAAAAACATGAACTATTTATACATATGAAATCACAATCATTCTTATAGACTTATTTTTTTAAGAACATATTTAGCAGGTCAGTTTCTAGATGGCAGGATTAAAATATCTCTTGCTGACTGCTGTGACGCCATATAATTGATTAGCTAACTGTTATATGATACTTTTTGGAGGTTACTTTTCACATGATAGACCTTCTTAATTCCTCACAAATATTACCTGTATGCCACTCTATTTCTGTCTGTATAATATTATATTCAATATCAGCTTTCAAATGTTAAAAAAAAAGTTCTTTAGGCAAAGTTCTAGTAGATATACTATAGAGAAAGATCAAGAGAAAGGGCTAGCCGAAACCGGTTTGGCTCAGTGGATAGAGGGTTGGCCTGCGGACTGACGGGTCCTGGGTTCGATTCTGGTCAAGGGCAGGTACCTTGGTTGCGAGCACATCCCTAGTAGGCGGTGTGCAGGAGGCAGCTGATCGATGTTTGTAACTATCTTTCTCCCTTCCTCTCTGTAAAAAATCAATAAAATATATAAAAAAGAAAAAAAGAGAAAGGGCTAATTTTTAGTAAACTTTTGAACATGTCAGTTACTTATCTTATACTAGAGGCCTGGTGCACAAAATTCATGAAAGATAGGCCTTCCTTCCCCCTGCTGCCAGCACTGGTTCCCCTTTGGCACCCGGGACCCAGGCTTCCTTTGCAGCCCTGGCTTTGTCCAGAAGGTCATCTGGAAGGATGTATGGTCTAATTAGCATATTATGCTTTTATTATTATAGATGGATTTAACTCCATTCTAAGGTATAGGTTCTAACCAGTATAAACAAAATGTACTAGATGAAATTCCACGTAATTTAGGTAGTAATCATTCATTCACAAAAACTTTTTTAACTAGATTACTAACTCATAGTAAATCCAATTTCTGAATAATATTTTAAGAACATATCTATTACACTGTTTTATCGCTGCTATGAATGATTTCAATGAAACAGAACATTTCATTCTAAAATCATTTTTGTATAATTCATTGGAATTAATATAATTTTCAGAGAGAAGTTCATCTTTGGGCATTTTCCTAAAATCAGTATACTGTCTAGTAAGTTCAGAAACACATTTGCCATGCCCAAATCGGTTTGGCTCAGTGGATAGAGTGTACTTCGGTTGCAAGCACATCCCCAGGAGGGGATGTGCAAGAGGCAGCTGATTGATGATTCTCTCCCATCAATGTTTCTAACTCTCTATCCCTCTCTCTTCATATCTGTGAAAAATCAATAAAAAATGAAAAAAGAAACACATTTGCCAAACATATTTTGAAATGCTAACTTCATCATAATTAATATTGAAATCAGAAAAATAGTTATATAAAATGCATTTTGACTTTTTTGCTTCTTTAAAAGTGAATTTTACTTTTAGAATAACCATCTCTTCTTATCTATGCTTGTTTATAGGAGCAAGACAGCAAGATGGACTATTCTTCTTTAATCTGAAGGTTGCATTGTAACAGCACTAAGAGTTCATCTGAAAAACTTCCTCTACATGTGTTATTCTTAGTTTTTGCTTCTTATGAACCAAGTGTGTAAGTTTCTATATTTTCCTTAACAACCCTGTTTAGAAAGTTTGTGCTATTTGAGTTTTACTAGGCTGATTGAATGGTTGCATTTTCCCCCTGTAAAAATGATTTTTTTTAATACTTAATACAGGACATAAGGTTTTCATTTATCTTTTCCTCCATTTGGCTAGACAAAATATCCCTTAACTATTTTCATAGTTCCATCAAACCATATAGCAGAATGGGATTTGTTCTATTGTAAACCAAGCCAGTAAATCAATAACTTGGAACCCAAATCACCTTATAGGTTCTTGGAATACATCAGGACTAGCTGGTAGAATTGAAGCACATGCTTGGATTTTATATATGATGGGTCCTCACTTTGAATCATATGCCAGCCAAGCCTAGTCATTCTCTTGGTTATAATCTACATGCTCTTTTATCGGGTTTAGCATGATTTCAGGTGTGATTGTGCAAAATAGTGGTTTTAACTTTTGTGCTTTGTTTAAATTTTCCAATTTGTACAATGTCATGACACTGTTTTTTTGTCTTAAAATAGAATGGCTTAAAATACTGAAGAGCCAGTGATTATATTTAAAATTAAGTTCTTAGTCTCAGGAAAATATAAAATATCTATTTCCTTCTAGTAACCCAAACTTTGTTATGAGCATATAGCATTTTTTTTTTTTTGTCTTCTTCAATGATTCCCTCCACAGTTGCATACTCCTGGCTCTCACGGATTATTTGGAGTCCGCAGAGTGACTGGTTTGGGGTGACAGAGCAGAATGTAAGCTCCTACTCAGTGGCTCCAGATCTCTCCAGCCACACCAAGAGCAGTGACCTAGGGTTACATCACTTATTCATTGTGGTTGTAAGAGATGACCAGAGTCCATATCACAGAATCTCCCATCAACATTCAATACTGCCTCAGTTGTAACCCAACTTCTGAAGATCATTTTAATGAGTGTTCACAGTGAGTCTTGAAGAGTTGATAGACCAGATAAATATTTACCTTGTCGGGAATAATAAGTGTGTCAAATATATATTCGACAAATGTTACATTGGAATATTTTTTACTGTTTAAAAGAGTACCTTGAAGGTTTTCCCAGGCTTTCTAATTTAATGAATCTCCGCTTCTTTATTGATTTGTTCGAAGATAAAGCATTCTGGTAATTTTTTAAAAGCCTTATTTTGATTTTAGTAGTCATCAATATTTGGTTTCTGCTTAAAAATGATTCTTGAAGCCATAGGAGTTTATGCTATTCATGACTGAAGGTATGGGTAAAAAGTGGTGAGACTGATTTTTGTATGATTTATGTAATCTCATTATTTTATAGTTATGCTTCCTATCTCAAACATTTAAAAAAAACAACTCAGTTTCACTTTCAAGGACTCCCTTACAGGGATATTTTTTTTTTCTAGAAAATATGTTGGATAAAAGGAAAGGTTTGAGGGAGAAATAATTGGCTCTGTTCACAATTCAATCAATCATTGGGTTGATGAGCTATAGAATGCAATGATAGCCTCCATGAGACATGAAACATGAAATATGAAGCTGCCTCTGAATATGGAAAAAATGTCCTTGTGCCATATTAGGGAAGTATTATTCGTCACAGAGGTCTTACCCAGGTGCACCAGCAGATGCACTCCAGAACTGAATGAATTTTTCACCATTGGGAACTAGTTACAGGGTCAGCCCTTCCTCATTTTCAGTGGAGATTGTCTTGGTATGAGGTCGCTTTGGATGAGTAGTACTGGAATGGATAAGATTGTTTTAAAACTATGTGTGACTTTGAGGAAAAACCAGCAGTCATGTTGAGTAGTCAACTGCTTGCCCGCTCTCAAAAATGAGAGACTCCTCTTTCCTAGAATATGTCAAGTTCTATCTACCAAGGGTCTGGGGCCCCATACGCTACTTATCATGATTTATCACCAGCAGATCAGAGCCTTAAAGTCTCACATTGAGGTAAACTAGGACAGACACTAGGAAAGAAAGGAGAACTTCTCAATTGTTGGTTCTATCAGAGGCCACGTCCTCTGAGGAGCTATCAAGGATATAGTAAATGTGTAAGTGGTTAAGAATGTAACTTTAAAATAATATTCTATGAATATGACACTATTGATAATTTTGTGGTTCTATATTTCCTTAAACCATACAAAGCTGCTAGCCATTTACTACCTCAAATGACAGTGAGGAACATTTTAGAAGACCTGAGATAAGTCTAAATCCTCATTGTCATTGTTTTATCTATTCTTGAGGTCACATTGATGTTTGAGTGAAGTGGTGGTGCCCTTCCTTTTCAACCAAAGTTAAGTAGAAAAAGAGTCTATAAACCTTCCAACCCATAAAACTGTCACCCTAACACCATCCCTTCAGTTTATGTTTCAATACACAAAACTATTTGTGAAGCATGTGGCATTTTCTAAATAGTGCCTTGAGCTCAAATCAAATTAGATTTGCAAAGTCTGGCTTTTGTCATTTTCTCTCAGGGTTACAAATATGACTCAGTTTTTCAAAGGAACCACAGTGCATTGTGGGTAGAAATGTTGACCCATTTCCTCTTTTTTTTCTTTCTTTCTTATGGTTAAATTGTCAGGTTGAAATATACTCTGTTTGATTTGTTTTTGGAAAACTGAACACATTTGTAACCAGTATGAAAATTAAATTCACCAGAATGTTTTTTCTTAAAATCACTCACTGAAACTGCCTTCAGGGTTAAATAAAGCCCAGATATGCAGACATATAAGCTGTCTGTATGTCTATATATGTCTGTGTATATGGCTCTTTCTATATCATTGAGTAAATAAGTTAAAACTAATTGCATCTTGACATCACTATAATAATTTTCAATTGTTAAAAACACATTTCAAATTCATCCTTAGATCACTAGGAAATGCCTAGTAATATAAATTGTCCTTTAATTTCAGATTTGACTTTATCTTAGCCTCTTAAGGAGATTTAATGTGTTTAAATTATTTTCTTACTCCATGTGTTTGCTGCAAATTGAATGCTCATGTTAACTGAAATACTTTGGATACTTTGGACTGCAAGACAGTATTAATTACTAAGTAGATTACTATACTCATGATACATATATATACATATACACACATATATGTGTGTGTGTGTATGCAAGAGAAAACATATTCAATGATATTCTCTGTGTTTAAAAACTATCATAGTATACATTTTCCTATGTGGTGCTTGAGGAGTTTCATTCTACAGTTTACAAGGTGTAGGTTTGTACCCCAAATTCTCAGGGTATGCTATTTTACCCAAATACTTGAAAGAAAAAGGTGCCCTGTACTTTATCAGTACTGTTGAGGGGGAAAATGATAAATTATGTGTAGGTTTGTTTTAGAAAAATCAAATTCATACAATATGTTAGCCTCTTACAGAATTTCTAAGGAGATATACATATAGTTATGATATATATTTTCAAGAGACTATTTCTACATTCTTAACTAACTTCTGGGTCCTCAGTAGACCTTACAGGTGCATAAAATCATTAATAAAACATTAGCATTTGCTAAACTGTACTTTGAACTTGAATCTAATCAGAATTGCGGACTCTGGGGGGAAAGCATGGTAATCTATGGCACATGTGATTACAAGGCCCAGGGGAGGATTCTGAAAATTGGACTTGTTTGTGTGGCCCATGTGTCAGAAGAAAACTGAACTTCACAGCAGCATTTGTAAGCTGTTAATATTCTCGTTCCAGGTTGCAACTAGAGCATATTATTAAATGTATTCCCATTTAATTCTTTAATTCACAATGGTGCAGAATAAAACACACACAACACTTATAATTTGATTTCTTTTTTAAGTTTCATAATTGCTTTTTACAACCTAGTGTTAATGGCAGAGTTCTTTGAAATCACCTATCGTCCTTGTATCTATTTTCTAATGGGCAGTCCTTCTCTCCCTCCTCCTACCCCCCGCCCCCCTTGAAGATGAAGATTTCTATATTTACATTTAAAGAATATTATTGTACAGTAAAGACAGTGGTGGTTGAAAAGGATGTGAAGACTGAGGAAGTTATGTCTTAAAAAGAGAAGAGTAAATTGTGTGATGAATGAAGAAAGACATTGGATAATGCTGAATTATACCCCTGGCCATGAGAAAAGCCAGTGGTAAATGGAAAGACTATGGACTGCTTTCAAGATAGAAATCTTTGTGGAAGAGTTCCTACCTTAGGTCTGATGCAACTCTGTTAGAGAGTGCACTGAACTTGGCCAGTGGGACTGCAAATCCAGCCGGACAGCTCTGAGAACGACATTCTCGGTGTATTGCATATGGAGAAAACTACTTAGACAAGGACTCTGTGAGACTAGCCTGCTGACCTTAATTGCCAGCATTGGTAGATGATTGTGCAATCTTGTGTAATGGTCTTTTATTGTGACTCTTGAGGAAAAATGTTTTGTTGTTGTTGTTTTTTTCCAGTAAAAGTAACTGCAAAGAAAACATGCATTGTCTGTCTTTATTTTAACTCAGACATAAACTTTGGACATTTTCATTTCCTTCTGTCTTCCAACTGAAATCCTTCATTTAACTAAAACACTTTGATGGTTCATATCCAGGTTGTATTCATTTTCTATTGTTATTGTAACTACACACTCAGCAGCTTAAGATGAAGCAAGTTCATTATCTTGCCGTTCTAGAGTTCTGAAGTCTAGGATGGACCTTCCCTGAACCCATAGCATGTCACCCAGCCAACCCAAGGAATCTAGCTGCTTGCATCATTAAGGAGCACTGTGAGGAGCACCTCACGAGGTATGTGATGCTCCACTGGCACCACACCTAGTGTGATGTCCTTGAGGGCCCACACTGAGGCCCAGGAAAGTAATTGTAGTTATCCCCTTCAAAGCCTGAATAGAAGAGGCACACATTTTGGAGACCTACTGCACAAGATCAATGTTGTAACACATCCCTTAAATCAACCACTGTTAACTGAAGTCACTATAATAAACCTTATGATTGAAGTCCCCAAAAGACTTGAACCCACATTTCACAAAGAGGGACAACCAGGATTCCTTATATATGTTCAGGGTTGAGGTTGATCAGGCAAGAAAGCAAATTGAGGGCAGTCTCAGGCCTCATATTTTTCTAAGTCAACTCTGGCTTCCAGCTCTTGTTTCCAGTGAATTCTCATTTTTCATTATCCTTCTTGCCTCAAGCGTGCACAGTTTTACTCTGCATTGCATTACCTTAGCAGTCTTCACTGCAGAATGCCCATTCAATCCTGAGCATTCCATGTGTGGCATGATTTTGCTGAAGGCTTAAGGGTACATGGGCTAACATTTGTATGTGCTCCATCATATGGCAGCCAACTACATTAGTAGACACTTTAAACATGAACTACTTACATACCTGTCCTCAAATACCCCTGTGCCATCTCTGGCACTAGAAAATTTTCACTGGTTGTTGAGTTTATTTGTGCTTCAGCCACCATCCCTCTCCCTCTCTTCATCCTTTGCTTCCTCTGTTTCTTGGTGTGCTGGCTCAGAATCCTCTTATTTCTTATTTCTTATATAGGGTAGTTTAGCCATCTATTGAATCCCTGCTAATGCAGATTCACTGCACTACATCCAGAAGACCTCATATTCATGAACCATGCATAGCCACTGTTCTAGTTGTGTACTGCTGAGGAACAATCCACCTTAAAAGCCACAAAAAAAGTGTTTAGCTCATTAATATGCAATTTGGACATAGCTGGGCATGGAAGGTTCGATTCTACTTCACACAAGAACTCAACAGGGATTTCAGAATTTACTTCCATGATGGCTCATTCCCATGACCAGAGAGCCAATGCCAGCTAGGGGCCTCAGCTCCTCTTCAGCTGGACCTCCCTTGGGCTTCCTCCAAACATGGTGGGTGAGTGCCAACAATGTGTATCCCAAGAGATAAGAACTGGATGCTGCCAGTGTCTTAAGGCCTAGCTCAGAAAGTAACACAGTATCACTATCACCTATTTGACAAGCAATCACAGAATGGCGATTCAATGGGCAGGAACACAGATTCTATCTCTCAATGGGAAGAGTGTCAAATAATTTGGGGACATATTTTAAAACTATCATCCTCATTAAGGGCTGTTTTTAAATAGTTAATTTTAAAAGAGGAAATTTAAAGTCCATTCTCAGATTACTGTAAGCTCAGTCAAAGATTCTAGGGGAAAAAATCTAAAGAATGAGAGTAGTGTGTCGAAGGTGTGATGGGTATGCTTTTATGTGTGTTAGACATATGTTGGAGTTTCATAGGGTAGAAGTCACTGTTATATTCCCAGTTTGGAGGATGTTAATGTTCTTTAGGAATAATAAAAAAGCCTACTATAAGCCAGGTGCTCTGATTCATGAAGAGGTCAATATTTCAGGAAGCCTTTAATATGGTGAGAATGCCTGATATGCTGATGAAGCTAGCTAGTCTAAGCCTTGTCAAACACGGTGATTGAAAGAGGAAACTAGCTAATGGCCACAAAGAAGAGATCCATGCCAATGACCCAGCATGGAATGGGCAGGGAGCAAAAGGGCTAAGTGTGAAGAGAACTCAGAAGGCCAGAGTGAAAGCAAGAGAATGAAAGTGAAGAAGCTGTTTAGTTTAGGGGCAAGAGAGCTATTGAAGATGACAAGGGAGGAATGTAGCTAGAAGTAGCATGACCAAAGCCCGTTGATAAGAGGTTTATCCCAACAGAAGTATTGTGAAAAGAATCATCAAAGACATAGCAAAAACTGATATTTCTTTCTGCCCCTTGAAATTACAACCTGAGAAACAGATAATCCCTTGTGTGAAGTGTATTCTGAAAGCTTCTACACTTTCAGGACTACTGGATAGAGTAAGAACAGGTGTGTATTACGTTCATATGTATTTACACACTAGATATAGTATTGCAGAATAACATTATATTCTATAGATTATGTGAGAATCATAAGATAATATTACCCTTGGCCTGTAACTAGCATTTCAAAAATATTAACTACTATGATATATTCACTATAGCATTTCTACCTCTGAAAAATTCAAATTCACTGTGATATAGGTTGCTTGAAGATCCTCAAATTTATTTGCATTTTCTTTGAAGGAAATTTAGAGAACGATAAAATATTCTAAAAAGTGAAAAGTAGGGCAATTTCTTAATTATTCAGAGGGACCTGCTATACAAATTACCTTAAAAATTAATGCTTAGGGGGTAAGAGAGAGAGATCAATCAAAAAACTTGTAAGCCTAACCAATGGACACAGACAACAGGGGGGTGAGGGCATGAGTGGTGGGGGGGGGGGATGAGAGGGAGTAATGGGGGAATAAGGACATATATGTAATCAGTAAATTTTTTTTTAAATAAATGCTTATAATTATGTTTTGTGGACTTTATAAAATTATAAAACAACCTCTTTCCAATATTCTTAGAGGGATGATTTTTATCAGCTGTATCTTATTTCCTCATATTGATGTATCATAATGTGTTTAATCAATCTCATATTTTAAAATATTTTGTTTTTATAATTTTGGGCTATGAAAATAATGCTGCAACAAACACCTTTGAGCACAAATCTTCCCAGGCATCTCTGAATATTTCTTTTTGATAAAGACTTCTAAATAGAATTACTGAAATAAAAGAATATAAGTATTCATAAAACTTTTGACATGAGATTTTGAGATATCTCTCTACCTCCCATATCCCAACTCTGCCACACACCCCAAAACATGCAAACACACTATTTAGAAACTTCATATTTTAGCACTTTGTTTAAAATTACCCTGAAGGTGGAGGAATGGGAGACTCTTATTGGTTTGCTGGAATACATATTTTCCTGCAGAAAGTATGAACAATCCGCATACACACAAAGAAAGAGTGTATATGGGTTTACAAAATCACACCAATGATCTTCTTATGATTTTAAGTGTCTTCCTTTTACTCTGGGGTAAGACTCTCAACGTTGTGGTCCCCATACTAACAGCCTGGGCTTCACCTGGAAGACTTCACCTGGGAAATGCTCGGCCCGACTCAGGCCAGTTGAATCCAAAATGGAAAAGAGCTTCAGTGTTCTGTTTTAAGAAGCACTCAGGTGGTCCTCATGGACACAATTTGAGAACGATTGCTGTGGACCACAGGGCACTGGCAACCATAAGTTTTTGGAGGAAATCAGAAGGCCGCTGCTCCTGAGTAGAGAACTCCAGTCTTGACCCATCATGTTAGCATACTGGTCCACAATGAGATAGTGAGATAGACCCTTTTTGATCCTCATTTTCTTCAATGATTTTTTTTTTTTTTTTTTTAGTGGACACTATAAATGCTTATTTCAGGGTGTTTGCAAACTTTTTTTTAAAAGATCTTGCTTAAGAAATATTGCCTTCCTTCTTTTTCTGAAAGTTAATCTAGTCTTTATTTTTTATTTTTTTTTTCCCTTGAAAGGAGTGTAAGAGCAGTGGTCCCTGAAGAGAGAGTAAACTGCTTTGCTATGGATGCATCTTCCAAAGCCAATGTCACCACCAACAACATATCATGTCCTCTTAAGGTTTCAATTTCTTTCTTTCCTCTTAGTAACTTAACAGTAAGGGTGCTGGTCCAGGGCTTTATGAAAACTGGGCTTAAAGCTTGTTTTCAGCTCCACAGGTCCTTACCCGGTTCTTGCTGCTATGATTTTCAGTGGCCCATTTTCCCAGAGAGCTCTGACCTCCTTTTGGAATCTCTGGCCTGTTCTATAGGGTTGCAAAGGCAACTTGTGTGTATGTCTGGGCGCAGAAATTGGCAAGAGCAGAGAGAGATGGTGTTTAAA